GTGGGGTGGGTACATGGCTCCCAGGGCCTTGGGCCGAGCTAGTCTGACCCTCCCAGGTTCAGTTTCCACACGGAGCTCAGGGAGGGTGTTCTCACACTCCCTTTTTTTCCCAAGGCTACGAGTTCTCTTGAGAGGGTGCCCGTGGGTTCTCCCCTGGAGGGCACTGGCTGGAGAGGGGCTGTGTGGTGGCCGCCCAGCCACAAGCTCCTGCCAGGGACTATGCTTCCGGCACTGCAGTACAGAGGCGTCCCCTCTGCTGTCCTCTGAGGCCCTGGGCTGACCTCGTGGCGGCCCCAGCCCATCTGTCTCATCCCCGGCTCAGGCACTCCCTTTGTGGCCTTGTTGACGTGGCTCAGCAAAACACCCTCGGTGTGGGCGTTTACTTTGCTTACCTGACGGGTGAACCTGGGGGGCTACCCCCACCCGTCTGGTCTTCCTGGGAGCTGGGATCAGGCAGGAGAGCCTGTTGATGTAATGTCTGCTTTAGAGCCGTGTGCCAGACGACCAGGCTGTGGGTGACGAGGGGCACACCCCGAGGGCAGGCAAAGCAGGAGGGCAGCCAGCCTGACCCCCCACCCCCGATCCTTACCCAAGGGTACCCACTGGCCAGCCCATATTTGGCTGCCCCACTCGCTGCTCAGGCAGGCACAGTCGCTCCCGGTATCACTGGGGGTCGTATCTCAGCCTCCCTTAGGAGCCGTCCCATGTGGTCACAGGGGTGAGAGGACCCAGGTGCCACGTAAACAGCAGCTGCAGTGAGGTGGGGGTCTTAGAACCACACCTGGGGAGAAGATGGCGGGTGTGCGGCCGGCCACAGCTTCCTGGCGCTTCCTGGCGAAGTCTGAGATCTTCCAGATGAAGACCCCATCATAGGTGGATGCCTCCATCTCTAAGACCTTCTGCTCCAGGTCAGCCATCGCCAGGTCCTTGAGGCCAATGCTCCTCTCCAGCTGCTGCACCTGCCGGGCGCCAAGACCACCTTCTCTCTTACCGGAGGGGTGTGGCATGAGCCCGCCTCCCACACCCACCGATCTCCAGCAGGACAGTGGTCCTGGGCACCCCTGGGCTCCGTGTTTCTCAAGTCCACTCCCTGCACACAAGAACCCAACCCCACCCTGGCCAAGAGGGGGTGGCTCCAAGTCCACACAGAAGCTCCTGGCCAGCAAGCCTGCTCAGAAGCCACACCAGGCCTTGCACATCCCCATGGCTGACTCTGTCCTCCCATCAGAGAGAGGAGGCTCCCGCCCACGGCCTGGTCTCTATGACCTTCCAGGGTTTGGGTCCCTCAGAGAACAGGACTCAGGAACGAAGGGGGCCAGAGCCTTCCATAGAAACCACGCTGGACTGGGGTTTGCAGATGGACTTCTACACTGTCCAGGCTCTAAAGCTCCAGGACCTGCTAGAACCTGCTGGGGTGCACACACCATCCCCCTTTACACTGTCCTCCTCATGGCTGGCCGCCCACCAGGCACAGACCTTGTTACTCAGGGCTTCAATCTTGTCTTGGTCCAGCCGGTGCTGCCGGCTGCAGGCCTCGGCAGTCATGGCCACCCTCTCCACCTCCCGGTTCAGGACGCAGACAATGTTCTCAAAAGTGGCCGTCTTCTTCTCCAGGTTCTCGCACCTCTGCAGGAGCTCCGACCCCGCATGGCTCTGGTCTCCCAAGAGAGGCTTTGCCTCCAGCACTGAGCTCAGGAGCATGGCCAGGTGCTCCCGCAGCCACTGTGCCTCGTGCTCTTGCTGTTTCTCACCCTCCACCTGCAGACACAGGGCAGGGAGGCTGCTGGCTCCACCCACCATTCAGCTCCCACCCGGGGACGGCCACCAAGACGCGGGCCTTAGAGCTGAGGAGACAGGCCAGAGTCTGAGATAGGGATGCCTGGGTGGCCTGGCCATGGCTGATCCTTCTTGTGCATGACAGACTGAAAGTCAGGTATGTTTAAAGAATATGAAGCTTGCTATAGACCTTAGTTGCAGCCAGGCACAGCAGCTAGGAACTGTGATTCTAGCACTTCAGAAGGCCAAAGCGGGAGGATCATTTGGGCCCAGGAGTTGGAGACTAGCTGGGGCAACATGGCGAAAACCCACGTCTACGAAATTTTTTTAAAATGAGCCGGGCATGCTGGTGTGTGCCAGTAGTTCCAGCTACTCCGGAGGCTGAGGTGGGAGGATCGCTTGAGCCCAGAAGGGTGAAGCTGCAGTGAGCTGAGATCATACTACTGCATCTCTGCGTGGCTGACACAGTGAAACCCTGTTTGGAAGAAAAGAAAAAAGGGACGGGACGAGACGAAGGGAAGAAGGCGAGGGGAAGAGAGAGGGGGAGGGACAGAAAGGAAAAGAAAAGAAAAATAAAAGCAGCACACCATTTTTTAAAAAGCGACTCACGACCAGGCACGGTGGCTCATGCCTGTAATCCCAGCACTTTGGGAGGCCAAGGTGGGAGGATCACCTGAGGTGGGGAGTTTGAGACCAACCTGACCAACATGGAGAAACTCTGTCTCTAATAAAAATACAAAATTAGCCAGGCGTGGTGGTGCATGCCTGTAATCCCCGCTACTCGGGAGGCTGAGGCAGGAGAATTGCTTGAACCCGGGAGGTGGAGGTTGCGGTGAGCCGAGATGGCACCATTGCACTCCAGCCTGGGCAACAAGAGTGAAACTCTGTCTCAAAAAAAAAAAACCTACCCACAAGTTCCAGACAAGCCTGGCCAACATGGTGAAACCCCGTCTCTACTAAAGATACAAAAATTAGCCAGGCATGGTGGCACATGTCTGTAATCCCAGCTACTTGGGAGCCTGAGTCAGGAGAACTGCTTGAACCTAGGAGAGGGAGGCTGCAGTGAGCCGAGATGGTGCCACTGCACTTCCAGCCTGGGCGACAGAGTAAACTCTGTTTCAAAAATAAATAAATAAATATAAAAATAGGCCAGGCGCGGTGGCTCACACCTGTAATCCCAGTACTTTGGGAGGCTGAGGTGGTCAGATCACCTGAGGTCAGGAGTTTGAGACCAGCCTGGCCAACATGGCGAAACCCCATCTCTACTAAAAATACAAAAATTAGCTGGGCCTGGTGGTGTGTGCTTGTAATCCCAGCTTCCTGGGAGGCTGAGGCAGGAGAATACTTGAACCCGGGAGGCGGAGGTTGCAGTGAGTCGAGATGGCGCCACTGCACTCCAGCCTGGGTGACAGAGCGAGACTCTGTCTCTAAAATAAAATAAAATAAAATAAATTAAAACTAAAAAGCTACCCACAGGGGGAAGGTGAAGGGGTGGAAATTAGGCTGCCTTAAACATACCTCATTTTATAGACCTGACTTTGCAATTAAATTATTTTCAAATTTCCGCAACAAGATTTAAAAACAAGCCAGGCGTGGTCATGCCTGTAATCCCAGCACTTTAGGAGGCTGAGGTGGGTGGATCACTTGAGGTCAGGAGTTCGAGACCAGCCTGGGCAACATGGTGAAACCTTGTCTCTACTAAAAATACAAAACTTAGCTGGGCGTGGTGGTGCACAGCTGTGATCACAGCTACTTGGGTCTTTCATCACCTACTTGGGAGGCTGAGGCACAACAATTGTTTGAACCCAGGAGGCAGAGGCTGCAGTGAACTGAGATCATGCCACTGCACTCCAGCCTGGCGAGAAAGCAAGACTCAGCCTCAAAAATAATAATAATAATAATTAATAAATAAGGAAGACACTCTTAAAAAAATCACAGTAAAAGAAACAAATGGACTTTCATGTACACCCAGCTAGAGGCACAGCCACCCAGAGAGCAGAAGGGCACTCAAAAGACAAACAGCTGGACGAGAGCTCGCCCTGCATCTGCTCAGAGACCAGTGCCGCTGGGACCACGCCGTGTGCGGCATGGAAAAAGCAGGTCCTGGCTGAGCCTGGGGTGGGCGCCAGCATGGGGAGACCCTTTGTGCAAACGGGAAGCGAGCATCGCCACAGACTCATGCTGTGTTCACTCTCATTCCTCAACACCAAAAGGCCCAGAAACAAAGAGCACAGTGGCGGCAGCGAGCACCACTGAGGCCCAGGTGGTCTCTAAACAACCTCCCGCACGGGAAGCCCGGGCTCCCTGGAGATGGCAGATGCCAGGTCGGAGCGGGAAACAGACCGGAACACGGAGAGGAGAAGACTATCCAACGCAGACAAAGAAAATGGTCCTCTTCACCGTTATTAGGAAGAAAACACAATACCTAAGGCCACGCAGAATCAAGTCAGCAACTGACTCTACTACAAATACCGTCAAGGCATCCCTGTCTCCAAGCAGGGAAGGTGCCCGCCCAGCGAGCTGGCCAGGGGAGGGTCTGCACCCACGGCCTGCCCCTCTCCATCCATCAGGCACACACCTCAGCTGGGGGCCACCTCTGGGCCCAGCACTCCTCAAGGGTCCTGAGCTCAAGGAGCTCCTGTTGTACAGGACAAGACGGACAAGAGAGAGACATGAGGTGCTGGTGACAGAGGGCCAGAGTCTGCAGGGGTGGAGCAGGGGGGTCCACCCGGAGAGACCCAGGCGCCTGGCCATTGTGCCAGTGTCCAAGTGCCTGGGGTGGGCACAAGTGGGCATGCCCAAGAAAGCTCAGGCCCAGCGAGCAGGGCAGAGGAGATAGCCGAAGGGAGGGAAAGATCACAGGAACAGGCCGCTCTGAATGAGAAGCCATGAGGAAGAGCTGTGATTGATTTCCAATTGTGAACAGGCCAGAGTGGAAAAGAACGGGGGTCCCATAAGCGCCTCAGCCTGGGTCCCAGTGAGAGATGAGGACGACGTGGACAGGGCAGTGACGGCTGGGGGGATGGGGGGTCCAGGTGTCCAGGAACCATTTGAGGGCAGACGAGATCTCTGTGAGCCTGAACATGAAGTGTAAGGCGAGAGGAGGGGCCCGAGTGCCTGCTGGTGGCAGAAGGCTTGGCGAGAGCCGCTGGGTTAGATGCTGCCCTTTTCTGTGTGAGATGGGGGCAGGGAGACGGCAGCCAAGAAGTGGTCGTGGCGAGCTGGCCGGGTACATCTGAGATGTGCACTCAACACCCAGGGAGGCTCAAGGCGACAGGCAGGCACATGCATTGGGCATCCTCAGAGACAGGTGGCAGTCAAAGCCAGGCACTACAACGCCACCAGGAGGATGGGAGTGGACAGGGCTGCCAGCCCAGAGACCAAGCTGGGGACACTCAGACAGCTGGGGTGGGAGGCAGTGCTGCAGAGGAGGCTGAGGAGCAGCCGGAAGGAACCCAGGAAGCACTGGGCTGGAGGCAGTGAAGACCACGCCCAACCTCAGACCCCCAGACTCACCGTCTCGAGGCAGCCGATGGCGTGGAATCTGCAAGGGACTCGACACTTGCCACAAGTCTTGACGTGGTCCTGAAACTACAAGGGAATGGCGTCAGAGTGCCACCTTTCTCTGTTCTGATGCATTTCAGTACTTCCACACAGACCACGGTGATTTACACAGAGGGTTACATGACCTGCCCCGCTGGCCTCTTCACTCTCACACCGAATGAAACCCAATAGCCCATTTCCAAAGCAACATGTGCACACACCCGTGCACACACCTGTGCAAACATGCACACTGTGCCAGTAACTGAGATGGGCAAGTGTTTCGGGACACCTGTGGAGACCGCAGCTTGTGTGTCACATGGCACGCCTGTCCTTCTATCACAGTCCACAGGACATGCAGTGCTGAGGTCCCAGGGCCTAGGTTCAAAACCCAGAGTCAAACACCCACTGCTCACCTGGTGCGCGGTGGTGCAGGATGACACAGACACAACATGAAGCAAAACGTAAAATCCAGAAAGGGGCCAAGGGCACACAGACACTCACATATGACACGAGCATGGAACCGGGGAAGAAACAGAGCCCAGCACTGTGGTGTCTGACACCGGTCTAAGGATGCGGGAACAGCCCGAGGAAAAACATGAAACCCAAGTCCCTCCTCCATTTCCCAGGTGACATGGCAGGTGTGTCGCAGCCCTGAGTGTGAGAAAATCAAACGCACAAACATCAGACGCAGCACAGGATTCCCACATACCCGGGACGAGGGAAACAGCCCTAACTGTGAATCAGTTTCCAGAAACAATAACGTAAGAACCTTGCACAATTCCCCCCAAAACAAACAAAAAACCAGAAACACCATTAAGTGGGCAGGAGTCATAAACAGCAAGAGAAGTACAGATGTGCTCGGTCACACCACAGCTTGGGAAGTGCCCGTCAGAAGCCCCTTGCCACCCAAAGGAGGTTGGTCTCAGGGTCCCTGAAACCCAAGGATGCTCGTCCCTGATGGAAGACGGCAGAGTGTTTGCACAGAGCCTAAGCACACCCTCCCTTATACCTTAAATCAGCTCTCGGTGACTCACGACCAATACAACGTGAACGCTGTGTCAATAAAAAAATCCACGCATATTCAGTGCATTTTTCCCTGAACATTTCCAGTCTACGGTTGGCTGGATCCACAGCGTGGACCTGCGACACAGAGGACTGATGTGCTTCTCACACGTCACAGTGGCAACGGTGCTCCCACAATGCTTATGGAAATGCAAATTTCCAAACTGTCGCACAGCGCTGCGGACGGGGGCCTGACACGTTTCCCTGTGAGGTCTCAGAATGCACTTTTTTTTTGCAGTTTTCGCTTTGGCGCCATGTAACCATTTTACAAAATTACAAAACCTTTTTTTTTTTTTTTTGAGACAGAGTTTCTCTCTTGTTGCCCAGGCTGGAGTATAATGGCACGATTTCAGCTCACTGCAACCTCTGCCTGCCAGGTTCAAGCGATTCTCCTGCCTCAGCCTCCCGAGTAGCTGGGATTACAGGCATGCGCCACCACGCCTGGTTAATTTTTGTATTTTTAGTAGAGACGGGGTTTCACAATGTTGGTCAGGCTGGTCTCAAACTCCTGACCTCAGGTGATTCTCCCACTTCGGTCTCCCAAAGTGCTGGGATTACAGGCATGAGCCGCTGCACCCAGCCCTTTTTTTGGGGGGGAGGCAGGGGAGCGGGGACAGAGTTTCGCTCTTGTTGCCCAGGCTGGAGTGCAGTGGCTTGATCTCAGCTCACCACAACCTCTGCCTCCGAGGTTCAAGCAATTCTCCTGCTTCAGCCTCCCGAATAGCTGGGATTACAGGCATGTGCCACCAAACCCGACTAATTTTGTATTTTTAGTAGAGACAGGGTTTCTGCATTTTGGTCAGGCTGGTCTCAAACTCCTGAACTCAGGTGATCCACTCACCTCCGCCTCTCAAAGTGCTGGGATAACAGGCGTGAGTCACCGCGCCCAGCCTTTTTTTCTTTTTTAAGAGCAATCTTTAAAACTCAAAAGCAAAATGAAACAAATGTGCCTCCGTGGCATACTGAGACAGCCGCCTGCCCAGAGATGCTGCTTCGAATGACTTATCACACAGCAACTCAATACAGACTCTAAAAGCAAGGAGAACTAGAAAGAGAACTTCGTCATCATATAATTCGCCACGGATCACAGTCAGTGCTACTGACACTGTTCTTATGTACAGCAATGTCAACAGGAACCATGACTTTCTGTAGAAAGGAGACAGCAACATGGAAGTTGGGTAAGAATCTGAAATGCAAACATCAGTGTGAACCCACAATGTATTTTCTCTTAAAATAAAGCAAGGATCCCTGTGCTGTCACTGAAGTATTTTCGGATGAAACACTGGGCTGCGGGAAGAAGTGGAGGCAGGAATGAAACAGAACGGGCACTGGACACCCCCCATCTTGAGCCTCAGCAGGGCCCCAAGTTCTAACGCGCTCTCTTTCCTCTGTCCAGGCTCCGAAATTCCCACCACCGGAAGCTGAAGGAGAAGAGGCCAGGAATCCAGCGTGTGTGCAGCATGCTGGGAATGGGGGTGGGAGCGCCCAGGGAGAGGAGGTGTGAGAGAAGGCGCTGCTGGAAACGAGGAGAGACAAGTCCCCCCAGGCTGCCCACCTGGGCCATCCACAGAGCTGAAAGCCAGCTGGGTGCCTGGCCTCTGTAAGCCTCAATTTCCTCATCTGATAAAGGGTGCCCTAGGGTTCCTGTGAGGGCAGGAGGACAACCCCCAGGCCCCCAGGAAACGCTAAACACCGCCCGCCCGTGGTTCCTGCCAGTGTCATCATGAAGGGGCAAACACTTCATCAAACAAAAGGTGCCCGTGACCGCCGAGGCTTCTGGGCTGTTCAGCCATGAGGCCCAGGCCCACTTCTGTCCAGCGAGCCCCACAGGCCAGCCTTCAAGGGACCAGGTCCCAACACACACCGCCCCATGCTTGGCTCAGCCCTGCACATGTTCCAGGCAGCGGTGAGGAACCCAACCAAGCCCTGGGAGCGTGGTCACCAAGAGAGGCTCCAGCAAAACCAGCAAAGATGGAGAGGAGGGGCTGGGAGGACGAGACACAGCCTGAAGGGAGGCAGCTCTGGTGCCTCTGCACAGCTCTGACTGATAGATAGCAGGCCAATAGTTTACATCATCAAAGAACAAAAGCAAATCTTTAAAAAACCTCACATTTTAAAAGAGCCCGAAGCAAATGAACTACATACCACATCTAACATAAACTCAAAGAAAAAATGTATTTCAATTGACCTCAGAACATGGTATGTGGACCCTACGTCTTGGTAAGATGTACTTCCAAGAACAAAAAGAGCTGTGAAGAAACAGGTGGCCTCATCACCAGAAGTCACGTTGCTGGTTTTTGTTTATTGTTTTTTTGAGATGGAGTCTCACTCTGTGGCCCAGGCTGGAGTGCACTGGTGCGACCCTGGCTTATAGCAACCTGTGCCTCCCGGGTTCAAGTGATTCTCCTGTCTCAGCTTCCCAAGTAGCTGGGATTACAGGAGTGCCTGTGCCACCACACCTGGCTAATTTTTGTATTTTTAATAGAGAAGTGGTTTTGCCATGTTGGCCAGGCTGGTTTTGATCTCCTGACCTCAGGTGATCCACCAGCCTTGGCCTCCCAAAGTGCTGGGACTGCAGGCGTGAGCTACCACACCCAGCCTTGCCTTCTTTTTTTAGACAGGCTTTCACTCTGTCACCCAGGCTGGAGTGCAGTGGTGTGATCTCAGTTCACTGCAACCTCCACCTCCTGGGTTCAAGTAATTTTCGCACCTCAGCCTCCCAAGGAGCTGGGACTAGAGATGTGCAACACAATGCCCAGCTAATTTTTGTATTTTCGGTAGAGACGGAGTTTCACCATGTTGGCCGGGCTGGTCTCGAACTGGCCTCAAGTGATCCTCCCGCCTCAGTCTCCCAAAGTGCTGGGATTACAGGCGTGAGCTACCACGCTCAGCAGGTATTTTTAATTTTAAACCTACTCTATATATAACATAAAGCAAATATGTTACCAGTGTTAGGAACCAAGATTTGCAACATTAAAAAAAGATAAGAAAGGCCGGGCACAGTGGCTCACACCTGTAACCCCAGCAGTTTGGGAGGCCGAGGTGGGTGGATCACGAGGCCAGGAGTTTAAGACCAGCCTGGCCAAGGTGGTGAAACCCTGTCTCTACTAAAAATATAAAAACTAGCTAGGCGTAGTGGCAGGTGCTGGTAATCCCAGATACTCAGGAGGCAGAGAATTGCTTGAACCCGGGAGGCAGCGCTTGCAGTGAGCCGAGATTGCGCCACTGCACTTCCAGCCTGGCAACAGAGTGAGACTCCATCTCAAAAAAAAAAAAAAGAAAAAAGGACCAGACACAGTGGTTCACACCTGTAATCCCAGCACTTTGGGAGGCTGACGCGGACGGATCACGAGGTCAGGAGATTGAGACCATCCTGGCCAACATGGTGAAACCCCATCTGTACTAAAAATACAAAAACAAAATTAGCTGGGCGTGGTGGTGGGCATTTATAGTCCAAACTACTCGGGAGGCTGAGGCAGGAGAATGGTGTGAACCTGGGAGGCAGAGCTTGCAGTGAGCCGAGATCTCGCCACTGCACTTCAGCTTGGGCGACACAGCGAGACTCTGTCTCAAAAAAAAAAAAAAAAAAAAAAAAGACGGGATGAAAATGCACCATGTGCGCAGAAAGCCACGTGTTCACAGTGATGGGGACAAAGTCCACCAGACACCGCTGCGCTGCCTGGGCGACCGTCTTCGTCTTTCACTCTGGAAACAAAGTCTCAAGGAAAGAATCACCTCCTGACTCCTCCGTAAACCCCCTCAGGACAGACAAGGGCTGACACAGACCAGGGCATGCGCAGAGGGCACCTCTCAGGAGCACCTCCAGGCCCCACCAGCAGGAGACACAGCCTTGCAGACACGGGCCCCAGGCGGGCGTCCTGGCCTCTGAAGGGGGCATGGCAGCAGTCACAGCCTCTATGGCGCTCCGACGAGACAAACCCCCCATCAAGCTTCAAGTATGAGCTTCAGTCTCCAGGCGAAGGGAAAAGACGCTTTCAGACAGCGCTTGGCCAAGCTCACAGTGTGGGACATTTCACAGACAAGTGGACAGAGGTGAGGAGACAGCCCTGTCCCGTCCCCCAGCCCCACCCGTTTCAGGGCTTGGGCTGTGACCTGTATTTAAACAGAAGCAAACCAGAAAGACAGGCACACACTTATCGGGCTGAGCTTGTGGGCGGGCCCGGGCAGCCTGACCCCTCCAGTGGCTGCCCAGATGGGGACTGCCACCTGCGAGGCCTCCACATCTGACCTCTGACACACGGAGCAGGTGCCACCTCCCCTTCCAGAGCTTCAGCCTCTCTGGATGAGCTACCCTCACCTCCAATAAGGGAGGCAGTCTGGGAAAACGCCTCCATGTGTATTATTTCCCAGCTTCCCTTCCTAAAGGTGTCATCTGCAGCAGTTAACTCTCAACTGGGCAAGAAGCCATTTTCCTGACACAGTAAGGATGCCAGGGACGAGGTTCTGCCAGGCGAGGCACCAACATTTCACTGCTGTGGCGGCAGACCAGACTAGGGCGCCCAGTCTCCACCCCGGCTGCTTGCTGCAAACACTCAGCATCAAAGTCAGTACCAACATTTCTCATAAGCAGCACATGGAGGGCTATGAGAACTTTAATGTTTCATTTTCAGGATAACTGGGGAGTGACTTGCCCAAAAGTAAGCAGCTGTGTACACTGGAGGATGAAGAAGAGGGCTCAGGACTCAGCCACCTGGCCCCCAGTCCACTCAGGAGAGCAGCCGCCACCATGAACGCATCCATAACCCAACGTTACGGGGCTTTGCACTGCGGTTCCTTTGGGCACAAAGGTCATAACCTGCCCCACCCCCCACCCCACGGGACCCTCACGGCCAACACATGGGCCCCGCCCCGCGGTCCTCAGAGGACATGAAGGACACTCACCTTCTCCCGGGGGATCTTTTTCTTGCCGCAGCCATCACAAGTCAAGGGGAACTTGGGGCAGACCTCGTGGTGCGCCTTCAAAAGAAGCGATCAGGAGCATGAGGCTGGACGCCAAAGCCAGGCATGGGTGGCAAGTGGGGGTGGAGGGTGGCACACAGTGCTTGGGCTGGGTAGTGCTGAGGGGCTGCAGGAGCACGTGGTCACCCTCGAGCCTCGCAGGACAGCGCTCCTCCCGGGCAGGATCCTGCCAGCACCACCCAGGAGCCTTGGAGATCTTAACGTTTTGTTTGTTCTGCCAGCTCCAGGGCAATGCGAGGGAGACCCAAGCCACCAGAGGAGATTCGGAAGCCACATGAAACAAAGGCGCCCGTGGAGATGGGGAAACGCTGCTCCTGCCAGGAGGGGAGGCCGGCGGGAGGGTCTGGCGGATGGACTGGGCTGGCTGCGTGCGGGACGTCTCCAAGATAGACCCTGATGTGCCGCTGCGGAGGGCCTGGCGCCCCAGATGTGTTCTGGTCAGGCCCGTCCGTCCATCTGACAGTTTACACGGAAGTGGGGACGGGTCAGCAAAGTGGGGCTCCTGAAGTACAAGAGCCCAGGAAAAAAGATGCCATGGGCCCCAGAGGCAGGGAGAGACCCGGAGACATTTCCACCAAAGGCAGGAACCCTGTGTGGATCGTGATCCACATACACCAAGGCAAAGACAGACAACAGGGACGCAGACACAGGCTGCAGGCTGTGTGGACAGTCACAGCTACAGCTCAGACACGGCGCTAGCCACTGTAGCTCTGTGCACCGCAGAAGTGTGTTCTCACCAACACTTCGGGGAAACACGAAGTCACACTTGAGCAACTGTCTCGGGGGCAACGCCCAGGCCTGGCGAGGATGGACACATACCCACCGCTGCACTCTCTACCTGATGCATTTAGACTTTTCTAAGACAAAAAATGCTTTTCTTTTTTTTTTTTTTTTTTTTTTTTTTTTTTTTTGAACGGAGTTCTCGCTGCTGTCGCCCAAGGCTGGAGTGCAGTGGCCGTCGATCCCAAGCTCAATGCCAAGTCCGCCCTTCCCGCGGTTTTTTACGCCGATTCTCCTGCCTCAGCCTCCCGCAGCAAAGCCGGAAACCACAGGCCGCCCACCAACCTCGCCGGCCTGTCTTGTGTTTTTTAAGTAGAAGACGGGGCTTTCACCGGCCAGCCAGGATTGGTTCTCGCAACTTCCCGAACACCCTCGCGATTCCGCCCGCTTTCTCGCGCCTTTCCCAAAGCTTGGCTTGGACACAGGCTCGAGCCACCCGCCCGGGCCAAAAAAAAATGGCTTTTCTTTTGCTAAAATTTTTTTCTTTTTTTTTTGTGAGACGGAGCTTCTCACTCTTTGGCCAGGGCTTAAGTGTGGCAGCTGGCAGCCTCAAGGCGGCTCACGCAACTCTGCCTCCTGTGGTTTCAAGCAATTTTCTCGCTGCCTCAGGGCCTTCCTGAGTAGCTGCGGTGATTACAGCGCAACTCGGCCCACCATTGCCTGGTTAATTGGTTTTTTCTTTTGTGACAGAGTCTCGCTCTGTCACCCAGGCTGGAGTGCAGTGGTGCAATCTTGGCTCACTGCAAGCTCCGCCTCCCAGGTTCACACCATTCTTCAGCCTCAGCAGCCTCAGCCTCCCGAGTAGCTGGGACTACAAGTGCCCACCACCATGCCTGGCTAATTTTTTTTGTATTTTTAGTAGAAACGAGGTGTCACCATGTTAGCTAGGATGGTCTCGATCTCCTGACCTCGTGATCTGCCCGCCTCAGGCTCCGAAAGTGCTGGGATCACAGGTGTGAGCCACTGCGCCTGGCCACGTCTGGCTAATTTTTTGCGTTTTTAGTAAAGAAAGGGTTTCACCATGTTGGCCAGGCTGGTCTCAAACTCCTGACCTTGTGATCCACCCGCCTCAGCCTCCCAAAGCACTGGGATGACAGGCATGAGCCACCGCGCCCAGCTTACAAAAATGTTTTTGAAAGGCCTCGGCATTAACTTTACACCCATTCCCAGTTCTGCCAAGAAACATCCACCTGCATGTCTCCAGGGAAAGGGCTGAGGCGGGGAACGAGTGCAAAGGGGCCAACGCAGCCCCAGTGGCCAGCACGCAGCTCCCCAGCTCAGCCCCGCATGGCTGCAGTCACACAGGTTGCTGCTCCACCGCACGCACCTTCCCGTCCGCCCCGCAGCAGGGCGCCCGGCAATGCCGGCAGCTCAGGCTTCTCTCTGGGCACTCGTGCTCCAGGTGGCGCTCCTTTTCACCCAGGCGGACCAGGCCTTTGCATGCAGGACATTCGGTCAGCATGAGCGGGCAGCGGCCTTCGTGGCAGCTCTGGCAACAAAAGGAGAAAGTGTCAGTAGAACTCGCGTGGGACATTCGGGCAGCCACAGCTTCACCCGAGGACACCAGGCGATATAATGCCGGTTTGGTGTCTGCATGCAGGTCCTGGGTGCCATTCTCCCCGTCTGTCCTGGGGGCCGCCCTCTGCAGGTAGCTCTCAGGGCTCCCACAGGTGGGACGGCAGGAGGAGATTGGTGCGTCCTCGTCTCCACTCTCTCCGCCCCACCCTGAGCTGAGGGGATGCTCTGCCACGGGGGTCTCTGTGTGGGTGCCTCGTCACCGCCAGGCTCCCCTATCTGCCCCCTAAAACAGCCAAGTGCACAATCCCTGCTCGGCACCAGCGGGTCCCTGCCACACACACCAGCTCCTAACCGAGAAAGCAGGCCACGCTCTTGCTCTGATGACCAAGCACAACACGGTCCAGGCTGAGTCTTGCCAGTCCCAGCCCCATCCTCACTGTAGGCGGGAGGTGTGAAGGGACAGGGAACACGCACAGGAGATAGCATGAGGGCAGGTGTCCTCTGCCTCCAGCACCAGGAAGCCAGCAAAGGCCTGAGGCACAAGCCCACCAGGCCAAGGTGCCAGGAGCTAGGCCTGGGACAGGCTGGTTCTAGCTGCACAGCACATGCATTGGAAAGGGCCTAAGCTACAAGGAAGACAGGCGAGGGCCAGTGACACACAGGAAGGTCACTCAGGAGCCCACGCATTCCCACACACTGAGCCACCCATGAGCTGCGCAGAGGCCCTGCCCTCCTGGAGCTGACAACCTAACAGAGTGACCACCGGTGCCGGAACACCAGGGAAGGCAGGCAGTGGAGGCATGGCCGGGAAGGTGCCACAAGATGCGGTCTAGGGAGGCAGGAGCCGGTGCTGCAGCCTAAGCGTCAGGCGAGGCAGAGGACTGCGGACGTCCACAGATGGCCAGGGTGGCAAGGGAAAAGGACACAGAGGGAAAGGAGGCCGTGCCAGCTCATCGCCACACCCAAGCCAGGAAGAATCTAGAATGTAGGATGCAGAACCCAGCCACCTCTCTGGCCCACTGCTGCCCCTGGCAGGGCTTCCTGGACCGTTTTGAGGGCTCTGCCCGGATGTGAGGGGTCAGGACAGCAAGGTGACGGGATGTGGCTGAACCCTTCCAGGACTGCCTGGCAGCTGCGCTTCTCACAGACTCTAAGGTTGGGAAGCCGCGTGGTCACAGGAGGAAGAACGGGGTGGCAGGCACCACAAAGGTGCTAGTGGAAGGGGAGAGAGGGTGAGATGCAGGACGTGTCTGGGGAGCCACGTGGACCTGCTGGCAGACTGAATGTGCTCTTACAGGGACACAGAGAAGTCAAGAAGGACTCTCAGGCCTCTGGCCCAAGCCACAGGAGGTGCCTGCCGCCTGCCTCCATAAGGGGCCGGTGAGGTGTGGAAATAAAACTAAACAAGGCTTTTTGTTTTGTTTTTTTGAGACAGGGTCTCACTTTGTCACTGATATGGTGTGGCTGTGTCCCCACTCAAATCTCATCTTGAACTGCAGCGCCCATAATCCCCGTGTTGTGCGAGGGGCCCGGTGGGAGGTCACTGAATCGTGGGACGGGTTTTTCCCGTGCTGTTCTCATGACAGTGACTAAGTCTCATGGGATCTGACGGTTTTATAAAGGGCAGTTCCCCTGCACATGCTCTCTTGCCTGCTGCCATGTGAGACGTGCCTTTCCCCTCCTTTGCCTTCCTCCATGATTGTGAGGCCTCCCCAGTCATGTGGAACTATAAGTCCGTTCAACCTCTTTTTCTTTTTTTTTTTTTTTTTTTTGAGACGGAGTCTCGCTCTGCCGCCCAGGCTGGAGTGCAGTGGCCGGATCTCAGCTCACTGCAAGCTCCGCCTCCCAGGTCCATGCCATTCTCTGGCCTCAGCCTCCCAAGTAGCTGGGACTACAGGTGCCCGCCACCTCGCCTGGCCAGTTTTTTGTATTTTTTTTAGTAGAGACGGGGTTTCACCATGCTAGCTAGAATGGTCTCGATCTCCTGACCTCGTGATCCGCCCGTCTCGGCCTCCCAAAGTGCTGGGATTACAGGCTTGAGCCACCGCGCCCGGCCTCTTTTTCTTTATAAACTACCCAGTCTCGGGTATTTCTTCATAGTAGTATGAAAAATGGACTGATACGGTCAACTAGGCTGGAGTGCAGGGGTGAGAATATAGGTCACCGCAGCCTCGACCACAGCCCCCACATAGCTGGGACTACAGGCACACACCACCACACCCAGCTAAATTTCTTTGTATTTTTGGTAGAGCCATCTTGTGTGTTTTTTTGTTTTGTTTTGTTTTTTTGAGATGGAGTCTTGCTCTGTCGCCCAGGCTGGAGTGTAGTGGCCGGATCTCAGCTCACTGCAAGCTCCGCCTCCCAGGTCCATGCCATTCTCTGGCCTCAGCCTCCCAAGTAGCTGGGACTACAGGTGCCCGCCACCTCGCCTGGCCAGTTTTTTGTATTTTTTTTTAGTAGAGACGGGGTTTCACCATGCTAGCTAGAATGGTCTCGATCTCCTGACCTCGTGATCCGCCCATCTTGGCCTCCCAAAGTGCTGGGATTACAGGCTTGAGCCACCGTGCCCGGCCATTTTTTTGTATTTTTAGTCGAGACAGGGTTTCACTGTGTTAGCCAGGATGTTCTCAATCTCCTGACCTTGTGATCCACCTGCCACAGCCTCCCAAAGTGCTGGGATTACAGGCGTGAGCCCTCACGCCCAGCAGTAGAGCCATCTTGCCCAGGCTGGTCTTGAACTCCTGAGCTCAAGCAATCTGCCCACCTAAGCCTCCCAAAGTACTGGGATTACAGGCATGAACCGCTGTGCCCGGTCAGGTTTAAACATGTCTTTTGGGAGAAGTCTGCTATGACTGGGAACAGAGAAAGGGAATGGAAGTCAAAGGAACATGGAGTTGAAAATCTGTTAAGTTTCTTGAATCACGATAAACATAAAATGCATCATCTTAACCATTTTTAAGTGCACAGTTCTGTGGTATTAAGTACGTTTCACTGATGTTACATAACCATCACCACCATCTACCTCCACAACCCTTTCCGTTGTAGAAACCTGAAACCCTATCCCTGTTAAACCCTAACTCCCCATTCCCCTCCTCCAGCCCCCAGCACCATCCCCTGGCTCTGAATTTGACCACTCCGGGGACTCTGTCAGTGAATTCATGCAGTATTTATCTTCCTGTGCCTGGCTTAGCTCACTGAGCACAACCCTAAGTTTTGAGGCAGGAGAGACTACAGCACATTCTGTACCGATGGGCGCAGCCCGGAGAGAGGAGGACAACGTGCTGAGAGGAAGGTTCCCGAGAGGCCAGGACAGCAGAAGACCTGGCTGCAGGGCCCTTCATGGGGTGGGAAGCGGGGGTCAGCAGCTCCATGGAAAGCTGGCTACAGCTCAGAAGCCCCAAGTGAATCAGGAAAGGGTTAATGACACCTCCCCTGAGAGGGGAGACCCTGCTCTGGACAGCACAGGCACTTGGGCTGGCTTCCCTTCAACCTCCCTGGGGAGTGTTCCTCCCAAACCTTCACACAGATGCTGCAACTACTCCTCAGAGGTGCCCCAGGGTACACGGGCCCGGCCCTCGAAGACCTCCTGTAGCACTGGTCCAAGCTAAGCCTGCCAAAGGAACCAACTCCCTGCGCCTTGCACTCTGCTACCCACTGACGGGACAGGACCCGGCCTCGGCCGCACTAGTGTGTAATGAGCCATCATCAAGCTGAGTCAAAGAGGAGTCTCAACAACTACTATGGCTATTACGGGTTACAAAACAACTATTATGACTTACAAAACAACTATTACGGCTTATGAAACAGAAAAACGAATGCACAGTGTTCTTAGATTTAATTAAAAGACTGTTCTTTAGGCCGGGCGCGGTGGCTCACGCCTGTGATCCCAGCACTTTGGGAGGCCGAGGCAGGCTGATCACGAGGTCAGGAGATCGAGACCATCCTGGCTAACAAAGTGAAACCCCATTTCTACTAAAAATACAAAAAATCAGCTGGGCGTGGTGGCGAGCGCCTGTAGTCCCAGCCACTTGGGAGGCTGAGGCAGGAGAATGATGTGAACCCAGGAGGCAGAGCTTGCAGTGAGCCAAGATTGAGCCACTGCACTCCAGCCTGGGTAACAGAGCAAGACTCCATCTCAAAAAAATAAATAAAAAGTAAAAATAAAAAAGACTGTCTTTTAAAACATAATAAAATGGCTGGGCACAGTGAGTTCCCACCTGTAATCCCAGCACTTTAGGAGGCCAAAGCGGGAGGATCACTTGAGCCCAGGAGTTCGAGGCTGCAGCGAGCTAGGATTCCATCACTACATGCTAGCTTGGGCAACAGAGCAAGACCCTATCTCTAAAAATAATAATAATAATAAAATGCTCATAGATGAAATGATATGACATCTTCATTTGCTTTAAAATAAGCCAGAAAAGAAAAAAATATGTGTCAGGGTTGAAGGGCTGAAAGAAGGCTGGCGAAGGCTGGCTGGTGCTGTGGGGCAGCGTGCAGGCCTATGGGGCAGCGGCATGCCTCTATTTTCAGCCTCACTGCTCAGATGCACTGCATGCTTGAAATGTCAAAAATAAAATACTTCTTGGCCGGGCGCGGTGGCTCACACCTGTAATTCCAGCACTTTGGGAGGCCGAGGCGGGCAGATCACAAAGTCAGGAGATCGAGACCATCCTGGCTAACACGGTGAAACCCCGTCTCTACTAAAAATACAAAAAAATTAGCCGGGCGTGGTGGCAGGCGCCTGTAGCCCCAGCCACTTGGGAGGCTGAGCCAGGAGAATGGCGTGAACCCAGGAGGCGGAGCTTGCAGTGAGCTGAGACTGGGCCACTGCACTCCAGCCTGGGCGACAGAGCAAGACTCCGTCTCAAAAAACAAAAAACAAAACAAAAAAAACACCTTTCTCTTGGGACTTGGTACTTGAAATCCCCAGTGGGACCAGGGATGTCCTGCAGCAGATACATCTACACCAGCACCATCTGTCTCAGTCTTCTCCCCACTCACAGCGGGCACAGCTCAAAAAAATCAATATTTATTCAGCCAGAATTCAAAGTAAACATTTGACGCAAATACATTCGTCATCCCTCTGAATGTCACTAGAATGTCCATGAGGCCGAGCAGACTTGGCTTTTCCCAGCCTTTCCGTGCTCGTGCAGCCCGTCTGTGTCCTCTCTGGAAGGTCTCCCTGCACCCCCACGGTGGACCCAGCTGCCAGAATGAGTAGCTCCAGGGCTGCTGGAGAATTCAGCTCTGCTTTTAGCGCTCGGCAAGCACTCCATCAACATTTACCTAAAGTTTCAAAAATCACTCGATTTGGCCAGGTGCAGTGGCTCATGCCAGTAATCTCAGCACTTCGGGGGGCCAAGGCGGATGGATCACTTGAGGTCAGGAATTCAAGACCAGCCTGGCCAACATGGTACAAAACCCCATCTCTACAAGAAATACAAAAAATGAGCCAGATGTGGTGGCAGGCACCTGGAGGCTGAGGCATAAGAATCGCTTGAACCTGGGAGGTGGAGGTTGCAGTGAGCCAAGATCGCGCCACTGCGCTCTAGCCTGGACAACAGAGCGAGACCCTGCCTCAAAAAAAACTTAAAAATAAAAATAAATAAATAAAATCATTCAGTTCCTAGAAAGGCATCATTGCAAAGGACAAACATATTCAAAAGCTAAGCAGGATTTTCCCCTTTTCCAACAAAGTTCAGACCATCAAGAAAGAAAAGCAGCCTTAGCCTCAGGACTGTGTTCACAATAAGGCCCCAACTAGCAGCACACTCTGAACAACCTGAGCGCAGAGAGAGGCGACTCAGGCACGGCTACGCCTGCAGAGCTGGCTCCCAACTGCACGGAGAGGGTTTGATTTCCGTCCCCACGTGTGACATTTACAGCCAGTGAGAGGTTTTATCAATAAAATCAAAGGCCACAGCCAAGCTATTCCAGAGCAGTGCCCGCCCCTCCCACATGACCAAACCCGGCTCCTCTCAGGGACTTTCCAGAGCTCTCAAAGGTGCAGGCCAGGGACTTTCCACCCTGCGTGCCTGCAGGACCGCGTGGCACCCCAGCCCAGGGGCTGGCTATAGTCCCTGGCCCTCAGCCGGAGGCCCTCATAATTGTCACTGTTGCATCCCATGAGCCTGGAGGTGGCAGAGACCCCAGAGGCCTCAGGGTCCAGTGCAGAGCTGGGAACTATTATCCCACCTGTCCCCCAGGCACCTCTCAGTCCTCTCAAAGGGGTAGCATAGCACCCCTACCGCCTGCAGCCAGCTAGTACTTTGACCCTACCAGGGAGACCCTGACCCTGGGCCACCTCCCCTGGGAGCCATCTCCCTTGCAGACAGCACTGGGCAATGACCAAGCTGCGCCTCTTTAGAGGAGCAGGGAGTGGGGTGTACGATGCCATGCACCATAGCCGCTCGTGCAGCAGAGCCACACAGGGGCCTAGAAAGCTTTGCATCGCACGTCGTGGCTGCGGACGGCCTGGCATCTCTGTCCACAGAGGCAGGAGTCTCGCTCCATGTCCAGGACACAATCCCCGGGCTAGGGAGGAAGCACATCTCATTCACCCCAGATACAGCTGGGACGATTCTTCTGAAAAAATGAAACTTGGAGCCCAAAGACCACAAAGCAGAATCTCAAAAGATCGAGGCAGGCGTGGCCAGGCTCACACGGCAGGGAGGGGAGAGGAGAAACCCACAGTAATGCAGGTCCAATTCCAACCCAGCCAGCAACACCCCAGGGTCCAGCTAAGCAGGAGATCCCAGACCCAGCCTGGGCAGGAAGCTCCCTTAAGTGCAGAAAGCCAGGGTTCCGAGCAAACAGCCCTCACAGCCTCACCAACCTGAGGCTGGACTGGATGGCATCAAGGTACCGTCTCACTGTGAGATTCCAATCTGTGACTCAGTGCTCACTGAACAATGACCCCTGCCCCTCCATTCTACTTCCTGTGCCTACGGATGTGATGACTCTGGGGGTGTCCCCAAGTGGAATCACAGAGGGTCTGTCCTTTGCTAACTGGCTCATGTCACTCAGCACACTGGCCTCAGAGTTCATCCCTGGGGAGCGTGTGTCTGAATCTCCTTCCTTTTTAAGGCTGAATCATATCCCACCGTGTTCACAGATCACACTTCCCATGTTTATCCATCATCCGTGGACACTGGGCTGCCTCTACCTTTGGGCTCGGTGGACAGTGTTACTCCAGAAATCCTGTACAAGGATCCCAGAGAGAAACCTCTTAAAGGGCACTCATTATGACAAGAAGGAAGACTGCATAACTTGGCAAGCCGTAGTGGCCTTGACTAGCTCTCCCGGCACCTCCTGGCCTCTACACTACAGGTTAAGTTTCCAAATGCCTAAAAGGTGACATGAGAATCACACTGAAATCCCCAATGCGCCAGTGCAGGAACGCAAGCCCGCCTCGCCCAGCACACAGCTCGCCCAGTACACAGGCACAAACCACGGCCAACTGAAGTGCAGGCCACTGCCTATGTTGCTGTGACCATAAGACAAGGGTGTCCATTATTTCTGCAATTTCCAATGTCAACACAATTCAAACTAAGAAATCCTTTGTGGATACAAGAGACACAACAAAAACCCCCACCAAACTTGAAAGCCGCAGGCCCCAGTGCACAGCGATCTCCCCTTCATTCCCAGGAAATGCTACCACTTAGATAACCTTAGATAACCACGGCATGCCCAAGGCTCACACGGGCACCTCCAACCCTCACAGTTACCCCACGATGGTGGGATCCTGCACTCCCATTGACAGACAAGAAACCTGAGGCACAGAGAGGGTAAGTACCTCGCCCGAGGTCACACAGCCCTAGCTCCACGGTGCAGGTCTGTGCTCTGCACTACTTGTGTTTCTAAATGGACGTACTCTAAGGAGCAGCTCCGTCTCTTCCTCCACAGACATCAGACAGGCTTCAGCCCCAGTGAGAACGTGCAGGACAAGGTCCCGACCGCTGGGGGAGCGTGGGCGACTCCCGACCGCTGGGCTTCTGTCACCGTGCCACACACAGGCATCTTTACCTCATATTCTTTCAGGGTCCCCTTCCAGGTGCACCCATCAATGGGACAGACGGCCGGCAGGCTCTCCACCTCCCTGCGGGCAGCATTATCTGGGAAAGCCTGGGGAGAGGAACATCCCTCAGGTTAAACCTCCTCCCAGTCTCCCTGCTGCAACCGAGGAACACAGGCCACGTGTCCAAACCAACCAACACTGCGTCGCGTCGCCTTCCCAGGCCACTCCAGGAGCAGAGGATGACTCCCTGATTCCATTTTTTTTTTAGACTCACCTTGATGCCAAAATTTCCACACCCTAAACCTCCCGAGTCTGCTAAGGGACAACTTCTGGCTGCCCTTTTTTTTTTTTTAAGGAGGGGTCTCACTTTGTAACCCAGGTTGGAGTACAGTGGCATGATCTTGGCTCACTATAACCTCCGCCTCCCAGGCTCAAGCGATCCTCCCACTTCAGCCTCCCAAGTGGCTGGGACTATAGGCGTGCGCCACCAAGCCCAGCTAATTTTTTGTATTTCTGGTAGAGATGGGGTTTCACTATGTGGACCAGGCTGGTCTCGAACTCCTGACCTCATGTGATCCACCCACTTCGGCCCCGCAAAGTGCTGGGATTACAGGTGTGAGACACTGAGCCTGGCCCCTGCTAAGTTTTTTGTTTTTTGTAGAGACAGGGTCTCACTATGTTGCCCAGGCTGGTCTCAAAATCAAACTCCTGGACTCAAGCAATCCTCCTGCCTGGGCCTCCCAAAGTGCTGGGATTACAGGTGTGAGACACTGTGCCCAGCCCCACCCATGGTGTTAAAAGAAACTGCTGGGCCGGGCACGGTGGCTCACGCCTGTAATCCCAGCACTTTGGGAGGCCGAGGCGGGCGGATCACGAGGTCAGGAGATCGAAACTATCCTGGCTAACACGGTGAAACCCCGTCTCTACTAAAAAAATACAAAAAACTAGCCGGGTGAGGTGGCGGGTGCCTGTAGTCCCAGCTACTTGGGAGGCTGAGGCAGGAGAATGGCGTAAACCCGGGAGGCGGAGTTTGCAGTGAGCTGAGATCCGGCCACTGCACTCCAGCCTGGGCGACAGAGCGAGACTCTGTCTCAAAAAACAAAAGAAATTAAGATATTTTCTGTTTAACATTTTTGGCTTCAAGACATTTTACTTACCGAACTGCTTTCTAAAATAGAAATGCCTTCTTCATATATGCCCTCGTGAACACAGGCAGCACAGTTCTGAGGCCCAGAGCTGGGGGGAAAAAGACAAAAAAAAAAAAAAATCCCACCGTGAAACTTAATACAAAAAGTAAATGAACACCATTTGCTTCAGTTCAAAAACCTACCTCCACACCGCAGTTTCTTTAAACTTTCTCATCGTTAGTGAAACCAACAGCAGGCAAATGTTAAAGGGACATGTTTTAAACCCCAATATTCACAGGACAATGTTTCTATCTCTCCCCGATTGTGAAGAAGGCGCGCCTGAACTGCCAAGGACACTGGCTGCAGTAACTCAGGTGCTGCCGGCTCTCCCCATAGGCCGAGCTGCTGCTGACGTGCAGAGGCCACGCCTCTCACACCACTCGAGCAGCCAAAAGTGAGCAGTAGGCGGCACTTTAAACCTTCCAGTACTCACATTAAAAATAATAAAAAGGTGAAATTAACTATAACGATGTATCACATTTAACTCCATATATCCACAATAGTATTTCAAATTGTTATTTTAAAATTATTAATTTTACATTCTTTGTGGTAAACCTCCGAAATCCAGGGAATATTGATAACTGGAGCACATCTAAGCTGGACCCGGCTCTGCCAGGAGCTACCAGGCTGGGCAGCGTGGCTCTAAGGCTAGCCTGGCCTGCCTGCCCCTCCTCCCAGCCTGCGGGCCCCGTGCACCTGAGGATGCTGGCCAGGCAGAAGGAGCAGTACCGGTGGCCGCACTGCGCCTGGAAGGGCCTGCGCAGGACGTTTCCGCAGGCGGAGCACAGGTACTTGGCTTCCAGCTTGGTCCCCAGGAGGGTCTTGGAGAAGCCAGGCTGTAGCAACTCCAAGGAGCCAGGGGGGGTCACGCTAGCTGCAGCCATAAGAGCTGTGACCCCCGCGAACAACCAAGCCCTAAGGAAGAACACACAGCACGTTACACCTCAATTCCAGAACAGTCCTCCAGAGAAAACCAAACCGATGGTGATCAGTAGCAGGCGATGGTGAGGGGCCGGGTCCCCACTGACCTGCAGTCAAGACTTGGAGAAACAGAATTGCAGAGCTTTGGGAAGCCTTGGAGACCCTCTAGTCCCATCTCCCGCCGCTAGTACGGAAACTCAGGCTCAGTGAGGGTGGGGACCACATGGCTGGCATCCACATACCCAACCCACAGCTCCAGAGAGGCACAGACGCACGGGCTTCCTGTCATGCACACCCCCCTCCCCAGCCAGAGGAACAAGCTGCCTTCCTGTTAACATTAACGGTCAGAGGCTCTCAAGGTTCTAGGCTCTTCGGTCTCCCCCATGGTTCCCACAATAAGCATGTTTTAGAGTGGTGGATGCCTTCTGAAATATCTTACCAAACCCACTGGGCAGGAGATGCCTGCCTGCCAGCACTCAGGCCCTACAGGCACTCAGGAGAGAGCCATGCCGCCAGACCAGCCCCTAGAGCAGCAGTGCAGCCCACCTGGGGTTGGCTAGTGCATTCCCTTTAGCTACCCATGGGTTTCCCCTCACTTCAGATGATGCACGTGGCCTTCAGAGCCCTCCATGAGCCAGCCCTGCCCTGGCCCCTTGCTGTCCACTAGAACTCAGTCAGCCCCACCAAGGCAGCCACGGACGGCCTTGGTGCCCTGCACCACGCCCTCTCCTTCTGCCTCTCTAGGCACCAAGGCCACCACAGATGGCCTCAGCCACTCTGTGCCGTGCTCTTTTCCTGCCTCTCTGAGCACCATCCAGCCAATCGCTGCACCCCACCCTTCCTTTTGGATTAACTGTGGCTCTTCCTCCCTCAGTGTCCCGGGCAGAGACTCCACAGGGCTCTGCTCTCCTGTAAGAGCACCCCCAGGTGGGTTTCCCTCTCCCCTTCCCATCACGGAGCTCCTGTTGTGCGGGAATCCCAGGAAGGGGCCTGGTCAGGGTTGGGCTGATGCTGAGGACAGAGGAAGGGAACAATGAGGATGCCTAGACCCACTCATTGGGCAGAGTGAGCACACAATGAGAGTGAGCAGTTACCCGGCACACTAAGCGCTTTCTCTCTCTCTCAATGAACTACAAATCTCACACCTGTAATCCCAGCACTTTGGGAGGCTGTGGTGGGCAGATCATGAGGTCAGGAGATCGAGACCATCCTGGCTAACACGATGAAACCCCGTCTCTATTAAAAATACAAAAATTAGCCGGGCATGGGGGCGGGCGCCTGTAGTCCCAGTTACTCGGGAGGCTGAGGCAGGAGAATGGCGTGAACCTGGGAGGCAGAGGTTGCAGTGAGCCGACATCACGCCACCGCACTCCAGCCTGGGCGACAGAGCAAGACTCCATCTCAAAAAAAAGGGGGAGACAGGCACTCGGTCCCCGCCAACCCTGTAAGTGGTTTGGGTAAAGCTTGAGTCCAAAGACTTCAACGCTTCTGGCTGAAGTCAAGTTTATTCACACGTGCTGGCCCCATCAAGCACAGGGAACTTCCGGGGCACAGACGCCCAAGAGAACAAACTCGAAACACAACCAGACGGCAACCATGGAGCTGCCCAAGCAGCAACAGGAAGCTGTGGATTAGAGGCAGACCCGTGCGTCTCCACAGCCTCATACCTGGAACCAGGGCCAGGCGTGAGGACCCGAAACCCCCAGCTCCTTCACAACGGCCTCCAGCGCCTTCTTGCGGTCGCCATGGGGGCACGTGTCACCTGATGCTCACCTGCCACACTCCGCCTTCCAAAAGCAGCCTGAGGGCCAGGGCTAGCTCTAAGTATGCTCTGTCTCCGGTCCTGGCCCCTGAGAGCCCAAAGAAAGGGGGTGGGAATTGGGGTCATCTCTCTAGCACGAAAGCAGTCTTGATTCAGGGAACTGGGGACAGCTAGGGAGGGACTTCCAGTGGGGATGGGGGGGCTCACTCCTAGAAGGGCGACTCCAGGCAGACCAACCTGGGAAAGAGGTGGAGGAAGGACAGGGGCATGGTATCAGCTGAGATCCCCAGCAGGCAGCCCAGGGAGGCAGGGACTGACAGGCAGGCCACGGCCTGAGGGTGGAGGGCAGCCTCCAGAGTCCTCTCCCCAGAGGGCAAACTGGGGTGGCATTTTATTTACTTAAGGAATGACTTACCAGAACCATTCCTTTTCTTTTTTTCCTTAGAGTCTCATGCTCTGTCACCCAGGCTGGAGTGCAGTGGAGCAATCTCAGCTCACTGCAACCTCCACCTCCTGGGTTCAAGCAATTCTCATGCCTCAGTCTCCCAAGTAACTGGGACCACAGGTACACGCCACTACACCCAGCTAATTTTTTTGTATTTTTCAGACGGGGTTTCACCATGTTGGCCAGGATCGTCCTGAACTCCTGGCCTCATGTGATCCACCAACCTCGCCCTCCTAATGTGCTGGGATTCCAGGTAGGAGCCACTGTGAATGGCCCATTCCAACATTTAAATAACAAATGCATTTTCCATTTTTTCTCCAGGAAGGACAGTGGATGCTGACTGCTCTGTGCCTGGACAACAGCCCCAAGATGGGGGCCTTGCTGTCCTACTTGAGCCTGACGGATGCCTCCAGGCAGGCTGTTAGCTCAGCCACAGGTCCTAACACTGCATACCTGCTCTGCTGTCTTTCCAAGGCCCGAGTTGCCAAAAGGGTGTCCTGGAAGCCTTGGGTCACTTGCAACCTCGAAGCAGCAGGGACCCACCCAACAGGCAGAGCAGCAGCAGGAAGGCTGCGGCCACAGCAGTGAGGAAAACGAAGTGTCACTGTGTGCCCCCGACACAGCGGTGTGGGTCACCCAGTCCCAGGACTGCTCGCCTGAACGGGGCTGACCTCTCCCAGCAGGCCCAGGACCAGCAAGTCTTGGATGGACCCAAGAGGCCAGAACGCTGCTGAGGCCCTTCTCTCCTCCTCTCACCTCTGCCCCAGTTGCTGTCCCAGAAAGAGGTCTTCCCAGCTCTCAGGACCGCTCCGCCATTCACCAGGGACTCAGCCAAACCCAGGAGGCTTTCACTTTTCTTGAGAAACAGGGGTCTCACTATGTTGCCCTAGCTGGAGTACACTGACTATTCACAGGCGTGATCACTGCACACTACAGGTTGGAAGTCTTGGGCTCAAGCAATCCTCCTGTCAGTTTCCTGAGTGACTGGGACTACAGGTGAGCGCACCATGCCCAGCTATCCAGGATGCTTTCTGAGCCCATTCCTTGTCCAATCACAGGCCAATCCCACTGGCTCTGCCTCCATGCTGCCAGCACTGGCCCCTTCTCTGGCCCTGACCCTGCTCTCTGCTCCTCCTTCACACCCACACCAATAAGGCACCCCTCCCTGAGGGCTCCCCAGGAACATCCTGGGCACTCAGAAGGAAACCCAGCCACTGGGTTTAGGCCCATCTGGTCTTATCCCCCACCATCCTCATGATGCCCCCAATCCACCTGCTCTCCTCTGTTCCCTTAACACTTTTGCCCTGCTTGGAAGAGCCCCCAGTGCTGGTCCCTATGGATCTGCACACCTGCCCCTTGGTAACCCTGAGTTAGGCCTAAGCAGCCTGCACCCAGGACAAGGCCCAGCAGCCTTCTGAGACTTGCCTCCAACTCCCATGTAATGTCCCCAGATCTCAAAAAGTGGAAGGACAGTTTACCTGTAAACCCCTGAAAAAGGGCCATGACCGGCCGGGCGCGGTGGCTCATGCCTGTAATCCCAGCACTTTGGGAGGCCAAAGCAGGTGGATCATGAGGTCAAGAGATCAAGACCATCCTGGCCAACATGATGAAACCCCGTCTCTACTAAAAATACAAAAATTAGCCGGGCATCGTGGTGTGTGCCTGTAATCCCAGCTACTCTGGAGGCTGAAGCAGAAGAATCGCTTGAACCCAGGAAGCAGAGGTTGCAGTGAGCTGAGATCACACCACTCTCACTCCAGCCCGGTGATCGCAGCAAGAACTCCACTAAAAAAAAAAAAAAAATAGGCCAGAGCACGGTGCCCTTCATACCTGTAATGCCCACACTGGGAGGCCGAGACGGCCGGATCCACGAGTCAGGAGTTCGAGACTGAGCCCTGACCAAAACAGGGTGAGAACCCCCATCGTCTAACTCAAAAAATACAAAATTAGGCGGCCGGGCGCAGTGCTCAGCTGAAATCCCCAGGCCACTCTTGGGAGGCCGAGAGGGTGCCGGATCACCGAGGGTCAGGAGAGCGAGACCATCCTGGCCTAAAACACAGTGAACCCAGCTCACTAAAAAAAATACAAAAAAAACAAGCCGGGCGAGGTGGCACCGCCCTGTAGTCCCAGCCTACTCAGGAGGCTGAGGCACGAGACAAGGCCCGGGGGTAAAAACCCCGGAGCCGAGCTTGCGTGCCTGAGACCGGCCACTGCACTCCAGGCCTTTGGTGACAAGTGAAGACCTCCGTCTCAAAAAAAAAAAAAACAAAAAAAAAAAAAGAAACATAGCTGGGGTGGTGGCCGCACACTTGTAATCCCAGCTACTCAGGAGACTGAGGCAGGAGAATCACTTGAACCCCGGGAAACAGCCAGAGTTGCATGACTGATATGCACCCACTGCAACTCCAACGCTGGCACTCACAGAGAGACCACGGTCTCAAAAAAAAAAAAAACAAAAAACAAAAAACGAAAAGAAAAAGCAAAAAAGAAAAAGGGTCACTACCACACAGATCCCAAATAGGAGGTGCTTTTTAACTCAGAAAAAGTTAGGCCCCAAGACAACCACCCTCAGCCCCTTCTGCAAACATTCCCCAAAGCTTCCTTGACCTAGCTCACCAACAGAAGCACGTTCCAAATGTCTTCCCCCGATGGTGCGCCAACCCTGCAGACCCATGGGGCCAGCCCCTCTCATCCTCCACAGGAGAGACACGTGCACTGCCAACACTGATGCCGCGTACAGGAGAGGGGAACGCACAGGCAGCGACCTCACCGCTGAGCTGCGCTCAC